TTCCTGCTACCACCATGGGACCAGGTTACAATTAAACACTGTGATCAGTAGAAAGTAGCAGCAAATTCCGTCTATTTACCCTGCAGCATCTCTATATTCTCCCCGTTTGGACCCAAATACAGGAAAAAAATGCTTCTTGATGGGCAGCCTACTTCTGAAGCTCTTCTGAGAGAAAGACAGAAAAAAAAATAATTGTACCTTCCTCCCTTCCTTCCCAGAGGAAGCGAAGCTCCGTCCCCGACACCTTCACATGCCAGACCTGCACACCAGCCCCGAGCACCATTCACTTGGCGGCTTCCTGCTTCTGCCACAGCCAGAGCACAAGAGCGTCACGGACTGGTAAAGCATGAGGTCATCACACCAGCTCTGCCATCACCAGCCTGCCCTTTGGGGAAAAGCCCAAATGGGGAGACAGGCTCCCTCTGGGCCAGCTGTCGTCTGCCTCCCTGGGAGCTGCTCACAGGATCGGTGTGGGATTAGCGCTTACCAAGCCTGAAGGAGACAGTAACAACAAGCACAAGCATGGCCACTCACTCATGGATGAGCCTGCCCAACCAATGCACAGCTCTTAATATCGCAGGGTCTTCCAGTGTTGCTCTGCTTGCTTTGAGGCGCTGAGCAGTAATATCAGGTATTTGCTTTCTCCCAGGGAAGGGCAGCATAGCCATCTTTCTTTGGGCACCTATTCAGCTCAAAGTAGAACCTGAGCATATGGCAGCACGGTGGATAGTTACCGTGCAAAATAAAAAAAAAAAAATCTTACCTGAGATTAAGCTAAGCCAACAGAAAGACAACCCCTGTAATTTGGTGTTTTAAACGTGTAATGATTAATTTCCCTAATAACAATGAGGCAGTGTCCTCTAGTGGTTAAAGCACCAGACATGGAGTTACGAGCCCAGCAGTTCACCCTGCGCTCTGCAGGTAACTTCTGCGTAGCCTCTGGCAGCTCACCATCGGATGCGTTCCACGAAGCCACTGAGGTGCCTAGCATGCCTTTATTCAACAGGAATTAGGAACTAAATGAGGCCAGGGTGCCCAAATATTTTCAGAAACTTGGTTCCCGGCCAACATTTACTGCTGCCCTCCTTTAGGACTTTTTAGGACCTTTTTTCCTTTAAGCAGCCATTAAGACAGAGGCACCTCCCTGCGCTAGCACAGTGCTTCTACACGGACAGAATAGGCAGGATCTTGAAAAGGGCATGGACAACCCTTCACTGCATGGGGCCACTTGGAAAAGCTGCCGAGGCCCATCGTGCAGAACATGCTAGCTCTGCTTCCCAAATTTCTCACTAAAAAAAAGGGACACCCAGCCACTCACTGTGAAGAGTCATGAAATCATAGAATCATAGAATGTTTTGGGTTGGAAGGGACCCCTAGAGGTCATCTAGTCCAACCCCCCTGCAGGGAGCAGGGACACCGCTAACTAGATCAGGCTGCTCAGAGCCCGGTCCACCCTGGTCTGGAAGGTTTCCAGGGATGGGGCCTCCACTACCTCTCTGGGCAACCTGTTCCAGTGTTTTACCACCCTCATTGTAAAGAATTTCTTCCTCATATCCAGTCTAAACCTACCCTGCTTCAGTTTAAAGCCATTACCCCTTGTCCTGTCACAGCTGGCCCTACTAAAAAGATTTTCCCCATCTTTCCTATAGGCTCCCTTTAAGTACTTGTGGAGAACCATTACTGAATGTGGTTTGTCTCGACATTGCCATTGTACCACCGCTTCCTGCCACTCAGAAGGTCATGTCCTCATGGTCTGCAGACAAAACAACACCATGTACCTGCACAAGGCCCAAGGCACAAAAAAGGTAGAAGGCATCCAAAGGAGACAGCACGCATGGCACGAAATGCACGTACGCCAGTGCAATCTACGCATGAGCAAGGGACCCTGACCCCTATAAAAGCAGGGTGTGTGGTCCCATAGGGGGGCTCTTTCCTGTCTTTGTCCCTCCCCTTCGGACCTTTTGGAACCTGCCTCATCGAAGTCAGCCTCGCGTGGACTGAACCTGGAGTAGCAGATGGGGGCGCCGGAGTGTCGACTGCGCCACAGGTGAAAGCGCCAGAACATTGCTGGACCTGGGGTGGTGGTAGCTAGTCCTCTCTTTCTATCTCTCTCTCATTCACCCTGTCCTCCCTGACGTAAACCCGCCCCCTTTCTAGCTCTCCTTTTCTCTCATCCCCCTTTTTTCCCTTCTGTTTTTCCTCAGTCCTTCCCCTTTGCCTTTCCCCATTCACCTCCTCTGTTACCTTCTCACGTGGTTCCCTCCTTCCTCTGCATTAAAAATAAAGTTGAAAGGTTGTACGACATTGGACCGGATTTAGTGTCTTGATCTTGTCCTTGGGATCGTATCGAAACCTCCCCGACATTGGATTGGGACATCTTATTGGCGTCATGGACAGGATCCCTTGAGATGAGAGTGTCGTGCAGCCCTGTGGTGGTGTGCGGTACGACTGTGTGTGAACGAGACGTATAAGCAAATATGAAGCAAGTGTGGAGTTCCGATCCGCAGCTCTGCTCTCCCACCAG